TTCCTGTTGTCTCACAATCTACCTCTGCATCTACATTCTCACTCTCTATCTTTTTGTTATCAGCCTCCTCATCGATTAGATCAAGCACCATGACAGCAACCTTCCTCTCAGTCGGCTGCTGAGTGATTTCAGCTTCATTAATATTAATTAAACCCTGATTATGATCTTTAGGGATGGAGTGAGTGCAGCTTTCCTCTGGGTAAATACTGGCTTTCGGGTCTAAGTTGAGGATCTTGTTGACATCTTCATCTTCAACTAATCCAGACTGCAATGAGTCACTGATACTAATGGTACAACCAGACCTCAACAGGCTCTGTTGTTTCATTATAGAAACAGCAATATTTGAGGATATGGATCCATCTGACACTGCCTGTTTTAAAACAGACCTAACACACTCCTCATCTCCTACACCTACGCCTCCTTGTTCACCTGACTGTAGGCAAAGCAGTTTCAGTACTGTCGTCTCATCAACTAGGCCCTTACGGAGAGCTGCCTCCAGGTCATAACGTCTCCCAGAGGTGACGTCTAAAATTCCACCCTCCTCCATCTGCGCTTTCAGAAGATGAATAGCGTAGTCTTGCTCATTTTCATCCTCCACCATGTCCTCCGAGCATAAAAAGTCAGCCTGGGTAATATCTGTACCTTCTGATTCACTAAAAAGTGAGTCGGCATCGTAGTATGGTAGTGTTTGATGGCGGGATTTCACTGAACACTCAGAGTCAAACATCGCTGACGGTGAGCCAACATTTAATCTGTTCTCAGAACATGAAGTTGGAACGACTGACAACAGTGGAATATCAATGTCTTCACTATCAGAACCTCCAACATCAATTTCTAAACTATTTCCAGAAACTCTCTCTGTAAATTCACCTGACTTTGTCCAATCTGTGTGGTTCTGACACATGGTTTCCTCTGCTACACTCGGCTCTGTGGTATCCATGTCAATGTCACTATCAACTAAAACTTCATTGACAGGATCTTGTTTTAAAGCCTTGTCGTTTGCATCAGTTTTTTCATCTAAGCTAATTCTTCCATTGACCGAAGAAACAAAATTATGAGGATCGGATGTGTGTTGCGTGTATCTCATTAACTCCTCTGTTTCCTCATTTATATACAACGGGATCTCTAAATCTTCCTGTTCTGAAAGATCACCAACATTTAAAGTGAGAGAAGTTACATTCTTCTCCATGTTTTCAGACATTATTGAATCCTCAAGAAAGATTTTAACCATTTTATTCAACTGTTTATCGAGTATTAAGACCCTCTGTCCTGATCTGGGATCTATGTAACTGTTTATCATTAGATAGGAGATGAACAACTGCTTTGCCTCTGTGTGAGTAGGGATGTTGTCAACCTTTAAGCAATCTGCAGCATGATAGCGCCCATCAACTGTGAGTTTTTTATACATAAGCCAAGATGAAAACTTTTCATTAAGGTGATCAACGTCAGGAAACACATCAGGAATTTCTATAGATTTCAAAATTTCTGCAGTGTAACTGTCAATCAAACCATTTTGAATGGCAGAGGTGATGTCTACCACCTCAGAACTTTCTGGAATGTAAAAAGCTGCTATTTTTTCCCGATTACTGAACAGTCTGCTGGTAAACTCACTGGTGGTGATTTGTTGCTCGTACTGGAAAGAGGTGGACACAGTTTGAATTTCCCCAGAGGTAGGCAACACAATTCCCATAAACTGCTGATTTCCAAGAACAGTGAGTGTGCTGCTAGAGCTCATCAAGTCACACTGAATGGCTGCATCCACCTTTAGACCATTGCCATTTTGGATGCTCCCAGTGCTACTCATAACATCCTCAGCTGTTATGTTTTGACCTTCTTTGGGGTCATCTACATCCATCTGAACACTTAAAAGCCCTGAGGTGGTCTCCTGATCACTTAAACCATCATGAAAAGACCTCAGAGTGTGAACATCCCTTCCTAATGTCAGTGATTTATTTCCACTGAGGCACTTCAATATCAGTCTATTGACCTCACAAGGTTCAACCTCCTGCACTGGCTCTAAGAGAGACACATCCTGGCAGGTCTTTTGCCTCTGAAGAATCTTTATATAGACAGAAGCAGGTATTAAACCACACTGAAATGCCCTCTCCAGGGTCAGTGCATCCCCTGTGTAGCACACCTGCAATCCATCACTGACTTCTTTGACCTCTATCATCTTGATGATTGGGTCTTCACAAGTGGCCCCTTCCCTAGCTGCTGCTATGTCAGAGAGCGACACAGAAGAGACATGTGAACTCTGTATGCACTTGCTTGATTCATTCAACTCTGGCAAGTGGTCCAGTGTGGATTTATAAGTGAGATCTTGTTCATCATCCCAGTCCAGACAGACATGCGGCTCAGACTGAAAGGGGCTGGAGGTCTCGGGTTGGGCCTCTGGGAGAGTAATTATGTGATCAATAGGGCTACTAATGTGTCCAGTCCCAAGCCCTGCATCACTGGATTTAAAATCCTAAAGAAAAAGAAAATTTGAGAAATTATTTAACTTATTTTAGCATCAAAATCTGTATTATCTACTGTATGTCAAATGTGCAATCAAAGTATTCAAAAGCAAGACAAAATATATACTCACCACTAGACAAATATGGGCATGTTAAAACATCATGTGCACAAGTGCAAGACTGCGTGGTTGTTGCAACAGGAGAGTGACGCATAATACATTTAAAGCTATCATGCACCTGGGAATGCAGTATCCAGCATCTTGCAAAAAGAGGGTAGTTAGTCACATCACATACTGTAGGTAAAGGGTTATGTGTCATTTCCATTATCCAGTTGACTTTGAAGTCAAGCACTATAATAATTGTAAAATTTCAGACCAAAGCCGAGCGCAACAAAGCATGTTTACAGCATACTCAGATTTTCTGGGGTTCAGTTATTTAAATCTTTTTTTTGTCCCTAATGAGTCCATAATGACTGCAAAAGACAACTGCACACACTGTACTAGGGAGAGGAGGGAAAAGGTTAGTCATGCAGCTGAACATCATGTGGCACTGTTTTCTAACACATTATAAGACACACAAAAGCAAACCACTCAATAGGAGTAATAGCCTGGGGTCGAACCTCTTCTGCAGAGGTTGTCTGATCTGAACAATGTTGGGAGAGTTCACTGTAGGCCTGATTGAGTGCCTTCAGCTGCTCCAGGGCCTTTTCTCTTTCCTCTTCTGTCATTCTGTAAGACAAAACACTAAGAATGAGGCTGAGGCTGTAAACAAAAAAGTATTTTTGATGTCAGTGACAGTAGCTTGATTTACTTGTCACTGTGTTTGTTCAGCATCATTTGTGTTGCCCTCAATGCTTCTGCAATTTGTTCCTTCTTAGTGACCATTTCCTCCACTGAAACCTAGAACATCAAAGAGTGGCATATTAATTAACACTTTATATGCAGTACAATGACTTACTACTTACTACTCTGAGTACAATATTGTTGTCACCAATATAATTATAGTTAACAGAGACAACAGGGACACAACGCTCACAAATACTCACACACTAGAATTGCTTTAAAAGACTGAATTTAAGTTTTCAATTTCAATTGACTTATTTATATTAAATATATCAATTGACGTATATAGACAACTGTACACTCCACTGACAAGTTTAATTATAAACCCCTGCACAAAATAATGCAATCCCATAGAACAGTTATGCAACTTTTGTTCAGAATGTGTCAAAGAGTAGATTCAGCTTTTTGCTCATTTTAGAGACTGTAATTTGGGGTATTGTTATATGACACTGCACTATACATTATTTTTTCATTCCCTTACATGGAGCGACAGAATATTAGAAACACTTCAAACACGATCAGAGAGATGGTTTATAATTTGACAAAATAAAATAAAACACTTAGTCCAAAGCTGTCATTATTAAATGGTAATTGCTTAATTTGAATTTTATCTATATTAATGTGTGCATATTGTAAAAACAATGACCAGATTTTTATTATTTTTTGGTTCAAATCCCAGATTGCTTCTAAAATGAACCTTACTGACATGTTTTATGTGTAATAAAATCATCAGCAATTACTAATTTATAATAATAATCAAAATGTGTATTTATATATATACATTGTATTTTTACTGTGGTTTATATATTTACAACAAAAATAAAATTAAATGTCAGTGTCCAGTGCTTATGGTCCAGATGACAGCACAAGACTTAATTAATTATATTAAGTAAATGTACTGAATGGACATTGTCAACACTAGAATAATTGTCTACAGACTATTCTCTTGTCTATTCTATTCTGTAAAACAATCAATTATAACACATTCCTTCAGGATCACCAAACTGATCCTTTTTTACAATAATGTTAATGTCATATACCGCAAACATCAGGGAAATTTCACATTTTAATGGAATAATGTCAGCTTTGGATTGTATGTAAACTGCATGTTTACATAGACACAGAGGGACAATGAAATGTATTTTGATATTTTAATAACCTGTTGGACTGATATAATCTATTGGTCACTGGGGTTGTTATGCGTGCTTGTGCAACTTATACATCATACATTATTGAATCAGTTATGGGTGATTAAAATGAAATCCATAATATATAACCATTCTTTTGTAAGCTATATGAACAAGGGATATGATAAGGTAACCTATAACCTGCCTATAGTGCACAATATATGGATTGAAATAATCAGAAAGTAGATAGTGTATTTTTATTAGAATTCATACACTGTGACAGCAAAACGCTGTTATGTTGTTTTGATTAGGAAAATTCTGTTCACCATTAAACCAAAGCATCGTCTCATGTACAACAAATACGTGGCAATATATGAAAACAGGACACATTGAAAACACCACAAATACTACACATTATTTACCTGGGGCTTATTAGAAGCGTCTGTGTTGGCATTGCTATCTTTCAAAGCATTCCCATCATTGTTTGGGGTCTGTTTCACATTGGACATCCAGTGCAATAGTTTGCTAACTTTATCACCATGCTCTCTTTTCTCCTCATCAACAGATCTCTAGAATCAAAACAGATGGGTTTTTGACAAGATTGTTAACTTTGTTACAAAAAATAAACAAAAAACACTTGAGGGGGGAATCCTGAAAGGGAGGGACTTCGCCAAAAATATAATTACAATCAGACTAAAAACACCAAAGCTCAAAAACCATTGCCAGCTGCATCAACAATTGGATGAAATGTGTGTGTAAACCAAAAAACAACATTGAAGTCAAGGTAACTTAACATCCAAATACAAAACCAAAGGAAATCCCATTTGCAGGTTTTGCTTTTATGCAATGGACAAGCATATATTTACAAATGTTTATTACTTATATGCCCAAACATAATGGAATGTTGATTTGGGTCCATAACCCTGAATTTTTGTGGCCTCCAGTAATCTCAACCCTGTGTGGCAGTCATACACACTTCTTTCAAGTGCCTCCCTGAACGTGATTCTTCTCTTAGTCTTTGGACATGTGAGGCTTCTGGTGTGGAACTTCTCATCTTTGAGTACAGAGGCAGTAACTTTGTCAACAAGGCCGCTCTGAATGACTTCTTCAAGTGAGACTCTGTCATGAGTGTCAGGGTTTATCAATCCTCCAGTCAGGAGCTGGAATTCAATACAGCGAAAGCCGGCATCCTTTGGGAAGAGATTTTCCTGAACAGCCTGGGAGACAGACAAAGTCTTTGAAGTCTTGGGGTGAATGATGCCATTAAACGCCTGCTCAAACTGCTGGAGCTGCTGATTCAATGCCTCATCCACCAGACCTCTTTTAAGAGCCTCCGAGAGGGTAACTTTCTCCCCTGAAGAGGGATCGCAAATGCCTCCAGTGCAGACCTGGGCCTCCAACAGCCGCAAGGCAGTGGCTCTATCAGTAAAGCCCTGTTGAAATCCCTGAAGAACTGACAGCCTCTTCCTCCGACTGACATCCCAGAGACCAGCAATGGGGCTGTTAACATCTTCCACAACAACCATTCTTGAAAATATGATGTCCGCGATCTCATAGATACTAAGAAGCCCGTTGCGATAGCTATCAAGCTCAGACATTTCAAGAAACCTCTGACTTAAAGCAGACTCTAGACAAAGTTGTCGGCCACTTCTGACGTCAATAATGATGTGAAGTGGGCTTCCACTGGCATCAACTATGGACCTTTCCTGCCATTCACTTTCCTGCTGTGACAGAAACAGGTAAGTCCTCCTGTCAATGTGTCTCCCCTTGAATGCTTCATACGCTGACATTTCGATGCCACAGCTGCTGATGACAACAGACGCTCTATGAGAACTCATGGGAGAGGTATTTGTGAGATGTCTCTCACCAAATGGGAAGAGAAACACACCACCATCTATGTCATAAAGGCATGTCTTCAGAATTTCAGAGTAGTATGCTTTCTGTCCAGTGTCAGGGTTGTGGAAACCTTTGGGGTTACTGACTGGATCATACAGACTCTGTAGAGTCTCCTTGTTCAAAAGACCCTGATCAACAGCAATGCTAGTCGGCACCCTGACACCAATCTCTGGGTTGATCAGTCCTCCAGTAGATACCTGGACCTCAAGAAGCTTCTTGCCTTTGTATCTATCAAGAACCCTTTCTTCCATTGCCTGAAAAACAGACAGCTTTTTGCCAGCATGGATGTAGCCACTAAAAGCTTTCTCAGCCTCTATCAGTTTGTCTTTCAGGCCTTTCTCTATAATACCTTTTTCCAGAGCCTCAGCAACTGAGTGTGTTTGTCCTGTGGCCAGATCTGTAAGGCTTCCTGTTGCAGTCTGAGCTTCCAGAAACTCAAGAGCGTACGTCTTTGCTAAGAAGCCCTTCTCAGCAGCTTCGAGGAAGGACATCTTTTTCTTACTTGACTCCACATAAACTCCGGCAATAGTTGTTGGTTTGCCGACGTGAAGTGATGCTTGCACCTCTTCTATTGTGACAAGGTCTTTCTCCAACTTGCGCAAAACCTCTTCATCCAAGAACTTGAATTTGATTAGGTTTTGAATACTTGTGCTGCCCTTGAGTTCTGGGAGCTTTTGGGAAGTTGAATACATGTCACTCTGTTTTCCCTCACTGTCTGTTGTTCTCCTCTCTGATGTGTTTACAGTTTCACTAGTTTTATGAATCTGATATGTTGTTGCCTTAGTGATGCTATGTGTGTCTGTTAGTCCACACAGAGCCATGTATCCACGTGCTGTCACTGTCGTGGACCTGTCAGGTTTGGTTTGGTCTTTTTGTAGGAGAGTAGGAGTTTGATAAGTAGAGCTATTCAAAGGTTTCTTTGTTGGTGAATCATGAAAGCTTTGGCTTTGAATGACTTCCATTTTATCTTGTTTCAGTCCTTCAAGAATGTTTTCTTTCCCCATTGTTGACATCTGTAGATGTGACATTGGAAGAACTTTTAAGTTACAGATGACTAGAATTCACTGTTACAGACAACTAAAGATAACTACAATGACTAAATAGATGTTTTAATAAATAGTTAGAAAATAAACAATTAGTAAAACTGTATTACATTTAAATATATTGTAATTATTAATAAATATGATATTTTGTTGTAGTGATTAAACTGAATTAACTTCATCCATACCTCTGAGGACACTTTCATTTTGAGAATCTCATCCTTCAGGTTGCATTTTGCATTTTCATAAGAGGGCACCATCCCCTGCATCACTGTATGTTCTGTGGAAGTGGCCTGGTTGTCTTTCACATAGTGATGCCTGGTTTCGGTCACTTCCTGTTTATTTATCATCTCGTTTTCAATCTTCATCCTGACCCCGAGTGTCAAAAGCTTTTCCTGAAGACTTCTGACTTCTTTGACATACAACTCTATTTGTTCCTGAAGAGATTTCGCTTCACTCTCCTTCACTGTCAGTTTCCATTCACTATCTGCTAACAGCTGTTTAAACTTAGCCGACTCATTCGGCTGTTCATTGCAAATGGTTTGTAAAGTGCTTATTTTTGAGTTGAGTTTAAGTTTGTCTTCCTCAAGTTGGGCAATCTGTGATTGTGCCTTAGAGAGGTCATGCCCAAGCTTGGTTCTTTCTTGCTGCAGTTTGTCCAATTTGATCTGCAGTTGCAGCTGTTGGTCTGTTTGTTGCTTTGTTTCCACTGTGGTTTGATACACTGTTTTAATCTGTTTGACATCTTGTTTGAAATACTTGTTCAGCATCTCAACTAATTCTGTACTATGTGACTGCTGTTTTGACTTCCCACTTTCAGTTGAGATTTCAGATTGAAGTAACATCAGTTTTTTCTCTATTTCAGTCTGCACTAGCAACAACTGCCTCTCATATCCCTCTTTCTGAAGTTCTAGTTTACTTTTCAACTCCTCTAGCATTTTCTTGCACTTCTCAAGTTGTTCTTCCATCTGCTGGGACTTCAGTTGGAGGACAGAGTTTTCTTTTTGCTTTTGTTCCGCTTCTGTTTGGGTGCGTTGCAGCTTTTCTTTCAGCGTTCTGACTTCAGATCCACACGAGATGCTTTTCTCTAGTGCCTCAGCTTTTTCCCTCTTAAGGATCATATTCTCATGTTGTAGATTTGATTGGGATTTGTCAGAACTCGACATTAATTCTTTCATTGTTAGTTTATTTTTCTGAAGCTCCGTTTCCAGCTGCACTATTTTTGATTCTTTGACTTTTCTTTCTTTGGTCTCTTTCAACAATTCATCTTTAGTTCTTTGAAGGGAAGAGCTTAACTCAGAAAGTTTAACATTCAAGTTCTCTACTTTCCTTTCTGTTGCTTTCTTGTCATTTTGAAGACCATAAATCTCCTGCTTTAGGTTTTCTGTAATTTTCTCTGAGCTGCTAGTTAACCCTTTAATACTGTGCTTATGTTTGAAAAGCTCATCGTCTAATGCCTTGACTTTATTGAGATGTGTCTGACTGTCAGCAGATTCTTTTTGCAGTTCTGCTTTTGTTTTCTTTAGCATCATGTTCAAATCATTAATTTCTGCATTTTGCATGTGGATCTTTTGATTTGCAGAATTCCTCTCATCAAACACTGACTTCAGCTCTGATTTCAGATTTGTTATTTCTTTCTCATAATTGGCAATGTTTGAATTGAGTGTTTTGATTTTCTGCTGCAGTTCAGTCATTTTCCTTACCTCCTCACTGTAATCCTGCAGCTTCATTTGAAGCTCATGGGAGGTTTGGGTTTTCTTATTTAGTTCCTCCTCAATAATTTGGACCTGTGATTTGGTGCCCTCCACCTGAGACTTAAAGATTTTAATTTTCTGATCCTTGCTATCAATTTCCATTGTCACCTGATCTAGTTTAGCTCTTGCATTCTTAAGATTATTTTCCATCTCCACATTTATCTGCTTTAACTCATCTACTCTTTTCTGCAGTTGAGAAGCAACTAATTCACTTTTCTGGAGTTCTGCTTCGAGGTTTTTACATTTGAGCTGCGACACCTGCTCAGATCTTTTCATTAAGTTGTTTTCTTCCTTAGCTGATTGAAGCTGCTGTTTCCAGCTCTCTATCTCTCTCTTTAAGGACTTGATCTTTTGTTCAGAAAATGATCTCTCTTTTTCCAATGACTCTGTTTGGATCTGAAGAGCTCTAATATCACTGTCAGATGAGACATTTATCCTGGTCAGCTCGTTGCATTTAAACTTCAGCTGATCTATTACTGCCTGCTTGGAAGCCATCTCTTCTTCTAAGTTGCTAAACTTGAAAATATTTTCCTGCTCAATGGAGCTTTTCTTATGCAGTTCTCCTTGGGTGATCTTCAACTGCTCTTTAAGGCCTTCAACTTCAGTGCTTTGGAAAAAAGTAGTTTGTTCCAATGAGGACTTTGCTCTTTGGAGAGACCTGATTTCCTCTTGAAGTTCATTGATGGATTTCTTCATGTTCTGTGCTTCCTGCTGCAGATCATCTGATTTCTGTCTCATGTTGTTCCTTTCACTTTCCATGTCCATCTGCAGTTTCTTCAGTCTGTTGTTGCTGTCATCCAACAGCTTTTTATAACTTTGTGCTTTCTCCTCAGCCATGTCTGCTTTTTTCTGGACCAGGACCAGTTCCTCTAGTTTCTGCTGCAGGACATCTGCCATCATGCTGTCATTTTCTCTAACTGAAGATGATTCTGGATCACTGTTGACTGTCAACTGACTGCCAAATGCCAAAGGCCGCTGAGCCAGATCAATTTCTTTAGCCTGGACCTGACTTTGAATCTGTTCCTCAGAACCTTCTTCCATGTTTATTTTTCTCTGAAGTCTGGGGCTCTGTTTCTTAAGATCTTGGTCATCGTTTGTTTTCTTTAAGAGGTCTTCTAGTCTCCTCTGAGCCAAAGACCACTTGGCCTCTGACTGCTCAATTAACTGTCTTGTGTGACTTAATTCCTGCTCACTGGCAGCTTTGTCTTTTACAGCTATTTCTAACTTGGTGCAATACTGATGAATGTCATGCTCAAGCTGTGATTTCTGAAAGGTTAGATCATCAATTGTCTTGTGTTGAGTTTCTACTTCTCCTTCCAACTTTTCCAGCTGTGCTTGTCTTTCAACCAGCAAAGCCTCCTGTTCCTGGACCCGTTGCTTAAGTTGACTAATCTCTACTTCCCCTGCAGCTTTTTGGAGCTCCATGCTCTCTGTCCTTTTTGCATTCTCTGCTCTTTCAAAAGCCTTTCTGTTCTATAACGCAAAAACATAAGTCATTCACTGTTTCAAGTTAAATTGTGAAATGAAATGCATGACTATTTTTACTTCTCTCCAGGAATTTGCAATTTCAAGGTTTTTCATGTAGCCAGGAATATTGTGGAGGGTTAAAAAAGTTAATATTTACTGAACAGATCTTTGAATGATTATTTGAATAGCATTTGTCACTGATTTGACCACCGCACCTTTGCCCTCTGATTCCAAACTTGTAACACTTTGTCACAGTTTTCAGCAAATAAGTTTGAGAATACATCTCAAGACCAATATTTATAAAATACTACACAAACTCCTGGAGAGCCTGTATTTTCCCACAGAAAGGCTAATATGAGAAAGACTTTCTGTTCAAGTATAAAAGTCTCTCCCCTCCCAGCAAGTCACCATCACCAGCAATGAGGAATTACTGTACATGCAGACATGCACTGCATGTGTGCATTTCCTTTGCTTCTTTTGCACAACAAAGCAAATATCTTCACTCATGATGAGCTGTCAAGTGAAGAACTCAAGGCACACAAGGTGTTTTTGTCTGTTACATTATTTTACGACTCACTATTTCTTAGTGGGGAAGTGAAATATGCTGATGCAAAACAGATAAGAAAAGAAACGAAAAGATAAGAAGGTAAAGCTAAACTGGCATTTAAGTTTGAGCATCCACATAGCACCAAAAGTCAGAAATGTGCTGCGTTAGCCACTGTAAATATAGGAAGCCAGGAAGTATTAAAATATGAATCTCTCACCTCCTCGTCTTCAGTTCTCTTCAGTGTCTCGCTGGCAAACTTCACATACTGCGTCATGAGAGTCACAAGAGCAGTGTAGCGGGTTCGGAGATCCATGAACTGTGAAATCAAACAAAGAAAAAGTATGTCATTCATATGTGTCTATATAGAGCACACATTTCCTGTGCTACCAAAGTTAAATCATAGTTTTACCTCCTGCTGAATGGCATCAGAGGAGCTCTGCATCCTCCGTTTCTTTAGAGGGGATTTGTGTTGGGAATCAACCATCGCTCTGAAGGTCATCAGCTGAAGTTCATAATCCTAAAAAAAGAGATTTATGTGTAAGTTTACAAGGTTGTTTATCAGCAACAATTGTCAGTTTGGTCCTTGCCCAACAATGCTGGAATGCTACAAATTGCATATATAAGAAAAAACATGAGAAAATTCAACGAAATAGCTACACAAAAATAAAAACATGTCAAATTGAAATAAATTTGCTTACTTTAATGGAAGAGGAGTACTGCTCGGAGTACTTCTGACACTCATCAATTCTGCTCTGTTTTTGTTCAATTTCAGCAACAAGGACCTGAAAAACAATTTTTTTTTAATCAAGTATATATTTATGCATCCATATATGTACTCTGTCTGTCTTATTGTAAAACTTGAATTCTTGTCCTACCTTCTGTTTGTTTAACAGCTCAGCCAGTGCCTTACTGTCTTCAGGTTTGTTTTCCTGGGCCTTTAGCTGTGCTACTTCCATTTCTCTGACCCATTCATCAAGACAACTATAAGAGTCTCTGTAGTGTTTCAGAGATTTGCTGATACCATCCAGATCCCGAAGCCTGAAATTGAATAGTTAACGTAAATAAGCAATACTTAGATTTACAATACCAAAAATCCTATAAGAAGAAATGAACACTAACCTGTTATCAATCTGGGAGTGAATGTTCTGCCACCTTTCACTCAGCTGATCTGCTTTCTCTTTGTGCCAGTCCAGGTCAAAGTCACGTTCGTTATGCACCTTAAACATGCGGTCACTGATGACTCGTGCTTTCTGCAGCTCATCCTCCATGTCATGGAACACCTCCTGCTTCTCATCAATCTCTGACCTCCATTGCTACAATCATAAGGAGGAAAGATTACTCGAAAAGAACTAATAGCGTTAATTAATGTTGGTGAAAATGTTGACTGCAACAGTGTATTACCTTAAGTGTTGAAATGACTGACTCAATGGACTTGACATCAGAGTTCATAGCATCTTCCTCATAGAGTTTGGATTCGTAAGTCTTAACTAGCGCCTCCGCACTCTGGCTGTGCTTCACCACTAAGCTCACTGTTTTCAATCTGCAAAACAAAGAGATACAACTCAGGTGCTTTTAATGCAAATGTCTGTCTAGTATAAATATACAAATGTCACCGTGATTGCTTCTTGACAAAGAAGGTCGTGTCTTACTTGTCCATATAAATGGAAGACATGGAGTACACTTGGCTCATGCTTTGGACGAGGACGGTGAGTTCAGAGGAAAGTGTCGGCACAGACGGAGCACCTGCAGCCTGTCTTAGGAACAGCTCACACTTATCCTTCATGACGTCAAGGTCCTCCTTCAGTTTATTCAGCTCCGCCGTCTTCTTCTGCAAAGCGGCATGTAGAAAATCAAGATTAAAACAACAGCAGCAGTTAGTTCTTGAAGGCGTTAAATATTTATTGATACGCAGATGTGTACCTCATGTTCTGTGATGCGCTGCAGACTCTGCTCCAGGTCATCTCTCTCCAACGGCGTACGGAGTTGCCTGATCAGGTGTTCTTCATGGGCCTCCAGATGCATCCGGAAGTTACGTATTTCTGAGATGTAATGATTGTATACGGACTCCTCGTGTTCCTCTGTTTACCAGGGAAATATTATCAGTACAAATAATCAACATCAACTATGTTTCAAACAGTGACAGGAAGGTTTTTTAAAAAAAATAATAGTTAATATAACAGTTTCCTTCTAATTGAAAATTACTACTATTTGATAGGCAAATACTAAATGATACAACAAATGGAACCTTGAACCTACATATTGGGTTACACCTCTAGTTCACCTCTAGGTGGCAGCATTATCACAGAGAAAGGCCAGCATTGCTGCTACATAAATAGAACACTGTACACTGCTAAAGTAGTCATACACAGTTTAGGAAAAATGGTTTTACCAACAACTTATTTCAGAAAAGGGGAGAGACAATATGTAAATGACTATACTCCCCCCTATTTTAAACCCATAACCATTAACAACAGTCTTTGCTTTTCATTCACATCAAAGCCAACCATCCACTTAGAAACTCTTCTTAATTGAGTAAAAAAACACATAATTCCAAAAGGCATTGACTTAAGGCTTAAAGGGGCTTATAGAACCATGTGTTTCCTTCACAGTGCTCAATGTACACCAGCTCTTTGTTGGGGGGGGACATGAAGGGAATGTGAGCCTTGCCTCTTTCTGCAGATCGGAGTAGTTCCTGGTAGTACTCCTTGCAGGCCACGACGTCTCTCTCTAGCTGGGCGCAGTCTGCCACCGTGAATACCTCGGACTCCTCACTGTCTTCCAGGAACTCGTCGAAGTGGGACTGCAGGTTGCTCAAAACCTGCTGATGCTCACCTTGTAACATGGTCTTTATCTGCGGTGGATAGAAGAATGAAAGTGAAAATAAGATAAAAGAATGAGGATCAAAACGGAGCCTGATTGTTGTAAATGATCATCGGCTGATGTTGGAAAGTGTGAGTCTAAAAAAGGTAAAATATGATATTTAAACATACTGAGGACACATTCCAGTTGCGGATGGCTCGTATATCAGCCATTAGATAATGCCAAGATACAACACTCTTCATGTTGATGTGGGAGTGGTGCCACAGAGCCAGGACATTCTGGTATAACTGCTCAGTTCTGCAGGAAAAACAAGAGACATAAATAATTCATCCCAACAAAGTCACATATTCAGTAACAGTCATTTGAGCTCAAGAACAAACTTAAGAACCTGAGAAAAACAACTCTCTATTGACTTATTTTTTAATTGTTCATTTTAAATGAACAATTAAAAATAATTTTAAACAACAATTTTAAAAATAATTGTTATTATTTTTATTTTTGTATATATTAATCAACTTGGTTGGTAGCCCTATAATAATCAAGTTTATTAATAATGGTGATTGCTGCTAATGCTTATAACCTGATTATATATGTTGCTATATATAATTTTTTTCATTATAATTTTTTTTTATAGTTATTCAGTAATTTTAAACAATTCCAGTGTTCATTGTTTTTCTTGATATTTTCGTATGAATTACAATCAACTCAAATAAAGCCTATTGAATTGAATTGAATTGATATTCCAGACACAAAATGAACTCTAGCATCTCACCTTGTAGCCATATCAACAGCCTCTTTGTTGGGCGGAGGCACAGTGAAACACACAGAGGGCACCATGGCCTCATTCCCTGCTGGGTTGATGACTTTCCACTTGGCCCGGTGAGAGTTGTTGGCCAACACACACTCGTCATCTTTATAAATGGTAATCTGAAAGAGTTGTGATAAAAACACAGCACAGATTTACAATAAAGCTTGAACAAGCTGAGATTAAATGTGGCGTAATATGGCTCAGAAGACTTCTGCGTACCTCTATCTGTCGATAATCACAGATAGCTTTAACAGGGATGGAGGATCTCACAGGGCTTTCAGGGTTCCTGGGTCTGAGCTGCACAATATTCTTGGCCCTGCCCACTAACCCAGCTACAGTGCTGCGGTACTGAAGTAGCTGCTCTTTCTCATCCTAGAGACACAGCAAACAAAAAAAAGGTTGTTTATTTTTATTCTTATCTCTACATGCACACACACTTTGTATCTTTCTATCAGTTTACCATGGACTCCTGAATGAGATCCTCCAGTCTGTGCAAGCTGCTTGTTCGATCACAGCTGTATTTTCTTTGAATGGCATCTTGCAGGCTCTTAAGGTAGTCCATGGACTCTTTGGCATCACTGAAAAACTGCACAAGGGGAAAAGAGTGAGAAATTAGATATGATGAAACTAATACACTTTGCTGAACTGACTGAAAAATGGGCAGCGACTCACCTCAAAATAAACGGCATTCTCCTTGAGATGCTGTTCTACACATGAGCAGAGCTGTAAAATCCAGCTCCACTGCGTCTGCATGGCAGCTCTGTATGCCTGGGAGAGATACAGCAACCATTATCCTGGTGTAATAGCTGGAAAATTACAAGACTACAAGACTTCATTATCTTTTAATCATTGTGGTCGTTGAATGCAGGGTGGAGACACTGCTCCCATTCCAAAAGTTAGAATCTAATTGTCATAATGACCGCAGAGGTGAGACAGAAACAGGACTTACTTCAATAGTGAGTCTGGCTGGGTGGTTCTTGAGCATAAGGCGTTCTGCCTTGTCCTGCACAGACTTGATCACTTCCTCCTTTTCATCCAGCTCCCTCATCAGGTCCTGTATGAAAGACATTAAAGCTGAGTATCTCTGGTATCCAGCCGTGGCAAAGCACCAGTCACTCCATCCTCTCCCACAATCTCATATCCTGTCTCTCAGCGCCAAGTATGAAGTTAATCATTCAACAATACACAAATCCCTTCACTTCATGAATGCAGCTGTAACAGAGCCAAACAACAACTAAACGAACTGTTAGAACAAGTCCTTGCAATTCTGTCTGCACGGAAGATTACACAGATTAAGTTACAGTTAATTAAAATACTGACAGCATGGTAGTCTCTTTTCTTGGAGATGTTGCTGTTGCGATCACTCCAGTCGAAGGCAACCTCCTCTTCCTCCTTCTCATTCAGCCAGATGAGCTCCTGAGTTGCCTGTGACACAAAGTCATGCAGGCTTTCCAGGTGGCTTTGCCGCTCTCTTGAACAGCTCTGAAAGGAACAGGCGTTCATAAAAGTCAGGCTACAAAAACTAAATCAATATTTAATGGCATTTAATAGCAATCATACGAGAGATCACTTACCAATAGCCT